ATAAAACAGACCAAGGCTTTCTCCAGATGTGGATTGAAAGATGGCAGGTTAAAAATTATAAGGAAAAAGATCTTGTATTGAATATACAAATGAAACTTGGTTGATGTCATAATAATTTCTAATAATAATAGTGACATGGCAGTAGGACAACTGTGGCAAAAGAAAACAAAGTTAGTACTAGTAGTATTGGCACATTGCATGTATTGCCAAAACAACTAGAGCACCACTTGTACACTATTGGCATTGACAAAATCACCATTGGTCAATTGCAAAAGACACCTTTACTTGGAATTTATTTTATTTATTTATTTTATTCAATTTGTATACCACCCTTCTCCTAGTGGACTCAGGGCGGTGCACAGCCAGAACTAAAACACATACCAATACAAAATTTAAAATTTTTAAAAGAATTACATGACTTTGGCCCAAAATTTAAAACATTCAAACTAAAACCCATTGACAATTTAAAAAGCTAAAAAAAGGGGGGGGGTTTCACGCCAGCCCTGCTTGATGGAAAAGAAAAGTTTTTACGGCATGGCGAAAGGTCCGGAGATCCGATATCCTTCATATCTCTGGGGGCAAATTGTTCCTGAGGGCAGGAGCTGCCACAGAGAAGACCCTCCCCCTGGGGGTCACCAGCCGACATTGCCTGGCTGACGGCACCCTGAGGAGTCCCTCTCTGTGGGAGCGTACTGGTCGGTGGGAGGCTATCGGCAGCAGAAGGCGGTCCCGCAAATACCCAGGTCCTATGCCATGGAGTGCTTTAAAGGTGGTAACCAACATCTTGAAGCACACCCGGAAGACCACTGGAAGCCAATGCAGCTCACGCAGGAGAGGTGTCACATGGGAGTGCCCCCTCGCTCCCATAATCCCCTGTGCGGCCACCGATAAACTTACATCCTGAAATGATACCTTTTAACACAATCAAACATCCACATGTGTCTATCCCACATCCTTGAGAAGGACTAGATAGGTGGATAAAAATGCCAAATCCAATCCAAATATCTGGCTGACTGCAACAATATAATAATTTATGAAATAACATTATTTTAAAAATAACAATTTAAAGGATTATAGAAATAACAAATCAAAAGACTGACTTGGATAACTTTTTTGGATTTACAAAAAAGATCTGTTAAACTTTTGAAGGACTCTGAGACGAGACAAAGAGAAAAGAAATCAAGTTCTGAGAACTAAAGGGATTAAAGATTTAAGATTATTAAAAACAAAGGGAAGGAATATGAAGTTGATTTATTGATCATGTTTAAAGTATAAATGTTATTTCTGGTAATTTTTAATGGATTTTTGCCAATGTAGAGAATGGCCTTAAAGGACAGTGGGAAAATTTTTTACTAAGGTAACAATCAGATGAGTGCAGCTTGAGTCTATTCCCAAAAACCTACCCTGTTTTCCCCAAAATAAGACCCTGTCTTATATTTTTTTTGAACCCCGAAATAAGCACTTGGGCTTATTTTCAGGGAGGTCTTATTATTTTGGGGCGTGTGGAGCAAGACGGTGCTCCTCTTGCCGTCTTACCTGATTTCCAGCTTTGTCTCCCTAACCCTAACCAGAGGAAATGGCGGGGACCAACTGCGCATGTGTTTAAATATTTTTGGGAAGGGAGGGCTTATTTTCAGGGAGAGGGCTTATTTTAGCACATGCGCTCAAAAGCCCAATTGGGCTTATTATCAGGGGATGTCTTATTTTTGGGGAAACAGGATATTTGAGAAAGTGCCTCAGATGGCCCCTCCCTGATTGATATAAAAATAAATACTTGCAAGATTCTGTTACAGCCAGGTTCAATTCAAGATGTTGATTATCACCTTTAAAGCCTTTCATGGTGGGGGTCCAGGCTTTCTGAGGAACCATCTCACTCTGATGAGATAAGCCCACTCCACCCATGCTGGCAGAAGAGGCATTCTGTGAACCACTTTGGTCGACAAATTGGTGGGATACAGGAGAAGAGCCCTTTCTGCCATGACTCCTGCCTTCTGGAATATCATGCTCCTTAAGGTGAGACCCGCACTCACCCTTTTGGTCTTCTAAAGGGGCTTGAAGACCTGGCTCTGCCAACTAACTTGGGCCCCAATAGGGGAGTGGCATCCAGGAGGTGGTTAATGTAATAGACAGACCCCCATCTTCTCCCTGTCCCTTCATCTCCATCTTGGTCAGAGGAATTTTAAAATTATGGTCTTTATTGTTTTAATGTTCTATATGCTATTTTTATTCACTGACTGTAAGCCCCTTAGAGTTGCTTCTAGAGAGATGATTGGCACAGAAGTTTAATAAATAAATAAAAATAAATAATTTTAGACCTACATGGCATTGGTTTCTTAGTCTGGTCTGGTTTAATATGAAAATTAAATTTCCAACAAATTGAGTTTGTTGTTGTTTAAAATAATAATTACTATATTTATTTATGTATTTTGCAAGGTGGGATTTAGACTTGTATTAAGAGTTGTTCTTTTTAAATTCTCTATGCAGTTTCATTTTTCCAAATGTGGAAAATATAGTAATCATGAGAACTTAAAAAAACTTATCTAGAGTTCACAATTTTATAGGTATGTAATATTTTTTTTAATCTAGGGATGCAGTGGCTAAGTGGCTAAGACACTGAGCTTGTCGATCAAAAGATTGGCAGTTCAGTGGTTTGAATCCTCAGTGCTGCGTAACGGGGTGAGCTCCCTTTACTTGTCCCAGCTTCTGCCAACCTAGCAGTTCGAAAGCATGTTAAAAATGCAAGTAGAAAAATAGGGACCACCTTTGGTGGGAATGTAACAGCGTTCAGTGCGCCTTTAGCATTTAGTCATGCTGGCCACATGACCAGAGAGACGTCTTCAGACAGCGCTGGCTCTTCAGCTTTGTAACGGAGATGAGCACCACCCCCTAGAGTCGGGAACGACTAGCACATATGTGCGAGGGGAACCTTTATCTAATATTTTTATAGGTATGTAATATTTTTTGATAATCTTGCTGAAATTGAACAATATATAATATCTAAATAATGGGAAAGATGTGGAAGACAACATAATACAGTAGGACATTTTTCTATATAATTTTATTGGTTGCCTTGAAACAAGGAAGTTTAAAAGCAACAAGCAGTCTCTAAAGGTTTGATTATCTTGACTATCTGAAAACATTCATTGACCGGGTCACAAATAATATCAGTAACAAATTTGGCACTCTCTTACCTATAAATTGGGAGTAAAACATAGCTACGTGCAAGCAAATTGATGAGAAGTCACTCAGTGAGCTTTCTAGGTCAGTGGTTTTTAAACTATGAGGGTGACAGGTGATAGCATTGCCTGCCACTAATTGCTGCCTTTTGGCACCCAAAGATAATGACATGATTTTACCTTCTTACCTCCTATACTTTGGACTCACATTACGCTATTGGTATTTTCATATTAAACTCCCTCACGAGCCAGCACTGTCTGAAAAATATGAGAGAGAGAAAAATGTGCAGCTGAAAATTGTAGGGGAGAAATTGCAGCGTGAAAATCATATAGAACCAACCTCCCCAAAATATAGTATTGCCAAATTAATTCTGGTATGAATTGTGAGGCAAAGCTGAAAATGCTAATTAACACTCCACAATTTCACTGTTTGGTTTTCACTCATCTTGATGTGCATTCTCCCATGCTGATTTTTAAAAGAAAAAGAAACCATATTACTACTTATCAGAAAGAAACGGGATTTTTTTTTTAATTCACAAGCTCCCACCACTTATATTCAAAAGCTCCAAATTTTCAGAACTATCGTCTGATTACTTATATCATGGAGCTTCCTATAAATGGAGTTTTTAACAAATAAGTATGCAGTGTCGACTATTAGCTCACTCTCCACATTTTGGATCCATCAGGATGCACTCATAAAAGAGTCATTCCCCATGGAGGCTTTAAAGTAGGTGGTATTTTAAGAAAGCCATTTGAAGTGGGCGACTTCCTTATGATATTATGAAAATAAGAGTCATTTTAAACTCATGAGTTGGCCGGTGTTTTCAATTTAGTTAATCAAGCAAGGAAGTAATTTCACCAAAACAAGGGGAGTAAAGGAACAGCAGTTCACTGTACAATCTGTAAAAAATAAATTTCTTCTCAAACACTTAACATTTTTTACAGTTGCTGAAGCTGAAAGGCACTAAATTGCCAAGAATATCATGCTGAAGTTAAATTAAAGCAACATTTCTCAAAGTTTGAGGCTGGAAAAGGGTTGGGCATTAATATTTGTAATAATAGTCAATCATGGAGTTTTCAAATGGATGGGAAATGACTGCCAAACCCATAGGGGACTTGAACTAATACATAAAAAAGCAGTGGTGAAGAAAATACCATTTTAAACCATTGTTATAAGCTACTCATCTAAACTAAAAGAAGAGGCTTTAAAGTTCACATATTCTACACTACATGGTTTACCAATCGAAAGAATTATTTTGGTCACTTCAGTTTACAACTATGCAGTCTTTAGAAATTTTTTAAAAGCAGCTTCAGTGCTCTTCAGTTAAGTGAAAAGGAACTAGGATCAGGTCTCATCACTTCATAGAAAATTTGGTAAATATGCAGGATAAAAGTAATCATGGTACATTACAATGCGTATCTGTTAGATAGAAGAAAATCTCACATGCCACATTAGTGAGAAAAGAATCATGGAGAAAACACCATCACATCAGAGTCTAGATACGTAAGTTTCTTAAACTGTTGCATGTGATATAGCTTTATGTGAGTCACACATAATTGCCATCACTTTGGGTACAAATGGACAAATAGTGAAGAATAATACATCAGTTGGACAATTAAAGACAATAAACAAAGGCACAGATTCAGAGTGGAACTACACTTTATTAAGTCAACATATACTTCACCTCTGGACAAATATTAGTCATGGGTTTAAATAAACAGAAACCTAAGAAAAAGTTGGAATGATTCAGTCAATAATCTAGATAATCACAGACGTTATCTTTTAAAGGACAAGTTATCTCTTCTCCTCTTGATAACTAATGTTTCATCCCTTTTGTCTATTGTCATAGGAGAACGTCTTCTTCATTTCTTCTGCTGAGGTGGGGAGGGAGGGCACAGTATTCTGAGTGAGAGACATTGATAGTTTGCTGCAGTTGCTGGTTTATCTGGTTTCCACATGGTAGGCCTCCCAATCTTCCCCTACTTTTGTGGATTATTTCGTCTAATTCTGATTTGGGAAGAACCTGATTATTTTACTTATTATCTATCTTGTCCTGAGAAGATTTATTTCCTTTATCTTCCCTATTCTCTTTTTCAACTTTTATTTATTTTACGACCTGTTCTTTTTGCATCTGTCTCCTAGAATGGTGCTTTCAGCTTGTCATCTTTCCAGAATTCCTTATAGTTTCCATACCTGTTAATTGTTGGCAAAGGACCTGAAAATTGTATCCTAATAGTATCTAGCAGAACATACATTGCCCAGGCTTGATCTATGGCACCTACTGAGAGACTTGGTAAGATCAATAAGCTAATTATTGTCTAAGGTCTTTTGTCTCTGCGCATCTGATGAGCTGGCTTCCAATCTAAAAAAACTTATAATCAATTCATGTTGCAGAAGAACCAGAACAACAACAATAATAAAAGCTTTGTGGCAAAAACAGTTTTCTTCCTTTTCTGGAAATCTAGTTTTTTATTTTCTAGATGCTGAATCAAATATAAATCATGCATTAATTAATTTTTGTTAAATCTCATCAACAAGATAATACATCAAAGATAATTTATTCTTAGTTCAGTTTAAAAAGTGCAGACATGAGTGACTGATTTCCTCAGAATTACTCAACCTTTGGCTGGCTGAGATCTGAGAATACACTGACTGAGTTTATTCATTGCATTCAGCAATAATCGGTTTGCACCTTGCAAGCCATGGTTTATGGCAAACTGTATTCAATAAACCATGTTTAAGCAAACTCAGATTTAGTGCAATACGTGAACACAGCTAGTGCTTCCCAGTAAGGAATTGGATGGTATTGGTAAGAATGGAAGTCAAGTTATTCTGCCATTTTATGTAGGAAAAAGTTTAACTTTTCAACCAACTCTAGTGGATTTTCTATAATCAGGTTTCTTATTTTTTAAGAAAGCTGAAATTATCACTGCCAAAAATAACAAAAGAAGACTCAGATATTATGAAAATGTATCCGCACATGCCTGTATAATGTCACACACACACACACACACACACATACTCTTTTAAAAAGCCCTGTTATATGTGATCCCTTACAGCTACTTCAGTTGCTATCTATCAATCCTTAAGATAGGACAGAAGAACACTCAAAGGAACTGCTTCCCTTACTTACACTTTTTATCCTTAAACCCAAGTTGGACTGGACAGTCCTTCAGAGAAAAGTGCCCAGATAAAGAGCACCACTCTCAAAGTTAGACATATAGCCAAAAACATCAGAAATGGGCCTTCTGTGCCCAGATAACATGTTTACAATAGTCTGAATGTAAAGACAGTTCTGTAATATTACAGGAAAGTTGCTGTTATATTTCCCATTTCCTTCTCAGAGACACTTGGTCAAATGACAAGTCATTTCTAGCTGCTGAGTGGAAATTACCATATAATCACTTTTTTTGTTACCAATGCTTTAAAATGTGATGTCCTTTCTGCTGATCATGACAAGGCAGTCTCCTGACTAAAATATAATCAGCTCCACAGCTAAACTGGGGGAGAGGGGGGAGGAACCCTGAATGTCCTAGAGAGAAAACACTGGAGAACAATAATGGCTGTCTTCCACAAAGAAATACAAAACAGTATTTTGTATAGACTTTTGATACCTTTCTCTGAACAAGCTAATAAGTCTTCCTGTCTGCATGAACTGTCACTTTTATTACCTTATCTATCAACAGTTAGCAAGAATCATTTGATGTATAATAGTTGGTTCTCAAAGTACTTGTCTTAAAATACGTGAACTAGGAAAGAGGTTATTCATACATAAACTATATAGTGAAAGCTTGATCTAAAAATTATTGTAATTGTGTACTAAAGGAAAGGAAACCCTTCAAAATCTTCCAATTTTCTTCCTGTGTAGGGTCTGAATGTATCGCTTTATTGTTACAGTTGGCACTTGACCAAACCTGATGTGGCATGAATTTAATTTAATGTGCCTACTTTTCTTCAAAATAGCTGTAATTGAGGAAGGGTGATAAGCATTAGGAGCACAGATCTGGGGAGAATTAGTCCAAGAATTTATATTATCCCCATGGAAGCTCTTTACTTTATTGCAGAAGGCAATTTTCATTAAGTGGAGAGGAAAAAGGCACTTTCTTCTCAGCATGCCACAGTTCTGAACCTGATTGTCAGCATCCAGCAGAAACCATTATAGCAATACATTTTGTGTTCATTCACATAATAGCATGGCCTCTTTTAGCTTGCACTCTTGTGTGTCAAAATACTGGAAGAGAAGGCTACTGCACTATTCAAGAGATACATACCAGGCCTGAAACATGTTAGTGAATCTAACAGTCTAATGAATCTTCTTAATAAATTAAGGAGGCTGTTCCTTGTTATAGGATACTTATAGGGGAGCATGGTGACTCATGAGGTAGGACGCTAAGCTGATGATTGGTAGGCTCACATTCAAAACCTAATTGCTGCCGCAGGATGGGGTGAGCTCCCGTCACATGCTCCAACTCCTGCTGACCCAGCAGTTTGAAAGTGGACAACCATGAGTTGATAGATGAGTACCAGAGGTGGTATTCAGCAGGTTCTGACCAGTTCTGGAGAATCGGTAATGGAAATTTTGAGTAGTTTGGAGAACCGGTAAATACCACCTCTGACTGATCCCGGCCCCAACTATTCTCTGCTTCCCGAGCCCCAGCTGATTGGGAGGAAATAGGGATTTTACAATAGGGATAACCTTCCCCTGAGTGGGGAGGGAATGGAGATTTTACAGTATCCTTCTCCTGCCATGCCCACCAAGCCATGCCCACCAAGCCATGCCATGCCCACCAAGCCATGCCCACCAAGCCATGCCGCCCACAGAACCGGTAGTAAAAAATTTTGAATCCCACCACTGATGAATACCACTTTGGTCAGCAACTTAATGGGGAATCAGATGTGTTGGACACAATGGTTTAAGCATTTCCTTCCAATTTCTATGGCGTTGTGATTCATCTGAGAATCTGGATGTTCCAAATTCTCAGAAGTTCTCTTACCCCAAGAAGTCTATCCTAATAATAGTAATTTTGATAAGCATGAAAAATACCTTATTTATGTCCAAAGCTGAAGGGCAAGAAAAAATTTAACAGGGTTGGGATGATTAAGATAGACTCAATTATATCTGAAAGAAAAGAAGCATTATAGTATTTTATTCCCTTCCCACAACAAGTATTGTCATTGTTGAATATTAGGTATCTTATCCTAGATGTTTCTAGTCCCATGTACTAGAAATACAGAAGAGAAGAGGATGAGATCTTCTTTGGTGTTCTGATCTATTGAAATCCATTTAAAGATTTAACAAAAGTGTGTGGGTGTATGTATGTGTTTGTATTTTTCCTCCATATAAGTTAGAGTCTTGCATAAAAAGCTTACACAAAGACTTGCGTAACAGTAATTATATGTGTGTAGATTCTTTTCATGAGAACTGCAGAAGCCAAGGGCAAGAACAGCAAACAACAATTTTTCCATGCATTTATATCCACTTGTACACACACACATATGTGTATGTAAAGCAAGTAATCACAATGAATAACGTTACTCTATAATCTTCGGTATGAGGAATTGATAGAAAATATCGGTAATTGCAATAGAGGGCCAAGAAGATTTTGGAGGACTCACAATGACTTGTATTGCCATTCAGAAAGCTGTTGTATTATATGCAAGACATTTCTTTTTACACTGTTATTTTTACACAACAATGAGCTCCAGAGCTTTGATTTGACAGTCAGCTCTTGGTTTCTTGCAAAAGGAGAATTCAAACATCTGGCTCAGTTTACACAATTATATTTGACACTTTTGCAATATTTAGGAAGAATTTGTGAGAGTATTTCGATTGCAAAACATTTTAGCAAAACAATCCACATTTTAAATGATTCATTTTTCATTTGAAATACTGGATTGCTTATCTCCAGAGCTCTTCCCTTAGATAAAGATTTGTGGGATCATTGTGCCTAACTGGTTCAGAAGACTATCAATCTCTATATCCATAAAATGACTGCAAAAATGAGATAGGGATAGTTTACCCTTATCATTTTAAGAAAACGTAAAGGCAAGTCAGACTGATTACCCTGTCTCTTCCTATCCCACACACCAGGGATGTTGTATGGCCTGTTTCTGTAAGGAGAATCTTGACAGCAGAAAATATGTGCTTGATTTTGCTGGCAGCCAGAGCTGAGGACTAAACCAAATAAGGTCTATCAATCCTAACTAGGTTCAAAGACTGTTGAGGCCAACTAGGTAACATCATATTTTCACAACCACCACACTAATGATATAGTGGTGTACAACCAGTGTACCTGGTTGGGTAATGAAATGTCTGCAAGCAAATAACCAAGCTCAGAAAGCACTAAGGCTCCACAGTTCAACTCTGAGTTACACATATTCTCTTCTATTGAATTGAAAGACTCAGGAGTCAGTCATTAGTTAGATGTGGTAGCCTTGTACAAATCCTAGCACAATATTATTAGCAATGTTCTTATCACACAAATCAAACAGTAATGCATCTTGGTTTATGATTTATGATTTACCGTGCTTTATAATCCCAATCGGCTGTGGTTTATGTTGTTTCATAAACACTGATATCTGAATCCATCCTATAACAAATTGTTCCTTGATTGTTCAAGGAGAGTGATAGTGTCTATGCAATTTAATAGAAAATACTTTATTAAAGATCCACTCAGTTCAATTTCCTTGGGAAGTTTGTACTGCAATGCAGGGAAAGGAAATGTTGTCAAAATAACACAATGCCCAAAATACTCTTAAATGAGATGCGCAGAATCCCAAAATATAAAATGTTAAAATGCCCTAAATTGCATGAGTCATTTGTGTTTTCCCATAATATAAAATTTCAGATGAGAACATACACACTTCATGTGATTTTCAGTGAGAATACTATTACCGTTCTTCTGGTAAGACCGTTAATCTTACAATATGTCATGCTAAGAATATTGAGATTTTTTTTAAAAAAAAAATGGTGCTCTTTTAAAAAACATTCATTCATTTTTCTTTTTTAAATAAAAAAATCTGTATGTGTTCCCTACACAGATTGCCAATTGCCAATCCATGCCTACAGATAATTGGAATGAGACAAAGCCAAATTATACTGGGGAAGGGTTATTAAATCCTATTTAAGCAATATTATGATTTTCTGAAGAACTATGCAATCATGTGCTGTGGTTCTTAAATAATGTATCAAGGATACATTAGAAAGAATAATGTATCAAGGATTCAGATTCAGGGTTTTTTCCCCTGTTTCTTTCTTTTTTTTTTCCTGACAGTTTGAGTGTAGCAGATAGTGGAAAATAATTATGGGCCTCTTTTTTTTTTCTTCTTTTTTTAAAAAAAGCAGAAACAGATAAAACTGCAAAAGTGCTGATATTAATAATATAAGGAAAACACATCAAAATAGAACCAGACATCTGATCTCAGGAAGATCCTCTCTCCAGATGCAAAGACATATTGGCAGGCAAAATGCAGTCCAGGTGCTTTGGGTGAGATACTCAATTTATATTTCAGGAAATGAAGTATTAATTGAAATATTATTCTTCAATACAATAAAGTTTGCCCTTTTTTATTATAATTAATCAATTCTGCCCCCAAAGAAGTGATGACAATCTTTTAAGATGAATGCAATCTGAATGGTGCATCCATTTTGCATGCATAAGAAGCATTGCTTTTGCACCAGTGAGTAAGAATACTACTGGACTATGGATGCACTTTTTTTCCCCAAATTTTAAAAAGCCATCTGCTAAATGAAGTTTGCTAACATCAGACAATGTAAGAGGTAAAATGGGATTACTTATTTCCTGCCATGAGCAAAAAGTGTCCCCCCCCCCCAGGTATGTAGAACCTAATCCAGACACAGGTCATTTCCATACAGCCTCCTTGATCCACAGCAATCATAATCCACCCATCAGTCCTCCACACTAGGTATCCTTATGGCTCTGTTTTATCTTAAGATCTGCCCTCAGCTGAGCATTCTGATAATAGCTTTCGGTGCTTCACTGTGGAAGTGGTGGCTTATGTGTTATTGTGTTTAATACAGGGCATAATAAGGCACGCAGGGGAGTCAGCCTGACATGATCTGGTCCATGTTGACAAATACCTTCCAACGGGTTCTGCCAGTTTCCTGAAAGGTCACCCTTTCCCAGCCAGTTCCTTGACCTCTTTCCTCACTCTTCTGTCCTCTTTTGGCTTCCAAGGTGAATAAATCCCCATTTCCCATTGCTATTTTTTTTTCTATTGGTGAAGAAGTCAGTGATGAAGGAAATCAGACAACATGTCTACGTAATCCCAACCAACTAGCCTGTCTAACATGTATGTGTTAAACACTCTTATGTTTTGGTGAATATCATTTTTCCTAAAGTATTTTATATTTTCATTTATTGTAAACTTTTTGGCCAATACACCTATCCCTGTACTGAGCTACACCACTGCTGATGCTTCTGCTCCCTAAACACAATAATTTCAGTGCGAAATGACAATACAGGTAGCCCTCGAGTTACGGCCACAGTTGAGCCCAAAATTTCTGTTGTTAAGTGAGACATTTGTTAAGTGAGTTTTGCCCCATTTTACTTTCTTGCCACAGTTGTTAAATGAATCACCGCAGTCGATAGGTTAGTAAAACGGTTGTTAAGCAAATCTGGCTTCCCCATTGACTTTGCTGGTCAAAAGATTGCACAAGGTGATCACATGACCTTCAGACACCGTAATGGTCATGAATATGATTCAGTTGCCAGGGATCTGAATTTTGATTGCATGATCATGGGAATGCGACAAAGGTCATAAGTGTGTAACTTTGAACAGTGACTAAATGAATTGTTGTAAGTCGAGAACTACCTGTATGCATGTTGGTATTCAGGTTCTGAGGACAGTGGGTACATGACTATGGGCACACTCTGGTCGGCCATTTTTGATGATCTTTTTGCCACTTGCTGTGGGATCATGCTTTACGAAGTGACTTGTTAAGAACTGTAACATAAGGCTGAGCAACATTTGCAGTTGTTATTCCTCCGCCAGTGATCAGCCGCTCAACTGTTTACAGAGGTCTTGCTGTTAAGAGCACAATGGCGAGGACATAAATTACAGAGCCTGCAGCAGGGTAATTGATGGCTTTGCACACAATGGGACTGGGAATCTGACTGCCAGTCCCTGATCTGGGATTCTGCCATGGTAAGACTAAGCAGACAGCAGGTCTGCTTGGCTGCAAAGATCAGGCCACGCTTCAGGGACATTCTCTTAAATCAGCATGGCTTCCGATTAGCACTGGCTTACATGACTATGTGCATTTGACGTTAGGATTCTTTCACTGCCACATTCACATGTTTTCCTCTAGTCCTTGATTCAGCAGAAAAAATAGGCTGATGTAATTTGCATTGCCCTGATGACTGAGCTCTAAACTGCCCCAGTAACAAGGGCTGGAAGGGATCCTATCCTTGCAGCTTTACTGCAAGGGCAGTGATTGGAAGATTTCTCCAGCAAAGCGGGGGGGGGGGGAGAATCCTCTCCTTAAAATGTGCCGGGGAGCATGGTGAGTATGCGGCAATACCTTAGATTGAGGCACTAGCCACCTTTCAAGTTGTTCGAATGACAGGTTGCTAGTGCAGAGATACCCTGCAATTTATAATCTGTTATTTGGGCTGATTTCCAAATCAGCAATTCTGCATCCAAAATAATCTAGTTGGTAGATTGGTGTGACAGATGAGGAACACAGAGTTGTAGGTGGGCTCCACCCTGCTTCTTCACAGTCCATTTTTTATCCTACTAACCTGCTAGCTGGTTGTTTTGTCTAATTTTCCTGTCACTAGAAAGAGCCATGAAGGTCAATGATATGAAGGAAGGGCGCATGTCTGAAGCAACCTCAACAAACCAATAGCAGCTCAGCAGATGCCAGTTCTTGGCCATGCCCTCACCAAGTTTATAAAAGAGGCATATATACACTAAAATTGCTGTTAAGTGAAGATGGAAAACATTGCTTTAAAAGGGGGAACTGCTGATTTTAAGCTGTTTTCAGGGTGAACCGAGGTTAAAAAGCAAGAACAAGAAAAAAATTGTAGGATGTCTTCATGCTGAGGTATCTCTAAGTCATATTTAGAAAAAAAATGAATGCTGATCTATAGTTGTAAGTCCCAATGTAACCCATAACATCTTTTTAAATACATAGTGAAGCAACATGAAAACTTACTTGAGTGACATACTGAATTCAGCAGGATTAATTTCTGTAGTTGATGCCCAATAACATCAGTAAATGAGATGAGTTTCTGTCTTTTACAAAGAAAAAGTTAAAATAAGATGAGGAAAGGCACAAGCATTGATTTTATTATCAGATACCATTTGTGTATGCAAATAACGATGTGTTTAATTGTTATTTGTTGTAAGCTATAGATTGTGAGTAATAGAAAAGGAAAAGTACTAGTATTCCAAATAACATAAATCCATTTTTTTAAAAGTTTACTTGTCTCTTTGCCATTTCAATATTATCTGCTTCTTGGTATAAATAAAAGCTGCAGGACATTTACCATGTTTCCCCAAAAATAAGACCCTGTCTTATATTTTTTTAAACTCTGAAATAAGCGCTTGGCCTTATTGCCTTGCGCTCAAAAGCCTGATTGGGCTTATTATCAGGGGATATCTTATTTTGGGGGAAACAGGTTAGTAGTATGATAATGACCAAATTATTTCAAGAAGAAATAATTAATAATTCGGTACATATACATGCACATATGAATCTCTCTCTCTCTCCGGCCCCTCATACACTCATACTGTATATATGTATGCCTTGATTGTGGGTTCCCTCTGTCTATCATGAGTGCTGATTCATCAGCAAATAATTCCTGCATTTTGCCAGTTTATCTTCCATCATTGCTAGTGAATGAGTGTGCAACTTCCTCCTTGGAAAATGTGTCATTTATTATTGACCTTTAGGACAAACCTAGTAAGGAAATGGTTTGCATCCAGTTTCATTTCATGCCACAAATGAATAGTTTTCATAAGACTTATTCTAATATATACCTAAAAAATCCTATTAAGTGATTCTTGAGGAAAATGTCAGATTCAAATACGAGAGAGAGAGAGAGAGAGAGAGAGAAAGAGAGAGAGACAGAGACAGAGACAGAGACAGAGACAGAGACAGAGAGAGAGAGAGACAGAAACAGAGAGTCAGACAGAGAGAGAGAGAGAGGGAGAGAGAGATATGAATGCACTCGAGACAGGATCCTCACCAATAGAGTGTCTTTTAGAGTTATCCAATCATCATTGTGCCAAAATAAAAGAAACATAGGGTCTATCTCACTTCATCAATGGATGACTGATGCTAGAAGACAAAACAAAATTCACTAGTTGAGATCCTATCAGACATACATAAATACAAATAAATAAATAAATATACATTACACACAATATGGACAAAATATAAAACATATATGTATGTATATAGCATGTGTATATGTGTGTTATGTATGTGTATACCTTTGAGAGCAGGCAACAGAATTTCATTTTTAATGTGTGCCAGTGTGCCCACAGTAAAAAATGACAATAAGGTTATCTATTATTATCTATTCTGAAGTTACTGAATTTAGGATAAATCATTAAGGATAGGCTGACCTGTCAGTGAAATAGAGGAGGACAAGGATCAAGCACAGGGAGAGCACAGTGTGCCTTGTTAATTTTTGCCTAGTTTAGCCATGTATATTATCTTAGACAATTGATTGGGTGGCCTATTTAACTAGTTTGGTATTTAAAGAGACAACCCTGTGTGTTCTGCTTCCAAAAACTAAGGTACATTCTCAAAGAATTCCTATTGAATGTAACTGTTAAAAGGCCTTCTAAAAATTCTAGCAAATACTATCCATATCAAAGTTTCGACTTGTTATAAATACCATGACAAAATATAAAATATCTATGAATGTGCAGAATTAAGCAGATATAAGTTTTTGTAAACCTTCCAGATATGAATTGATGATGTTATCTAGTTGGGTAATGAAATATCTGCCAGCAAACAACCAAGCTCAGAGAGCACCAAGGATTCTTAGCTTCCAGATGTGTTGGTCTCCAATTCCCATAATTCCCAAGCAGCAGAGTTTTGGCTATATTTGGTGGCAGTGGAAGATGAAAAGCAACACACCTAGAAGGCATCTGGTTGAAGAAGGTCAGTTGACAGGCAGAAGACAGCATCAGAAAAGACAGAGGAAGGAACTCTGTCACTTGTGATGGTGGAACTGGGAAGTGAGAATGAACAGTCTGAAAGATTTTCTGGACCTGTTTATGTCCATCTCATTCTCTCTCACCCATAGGCACTGAGATCTAGTGAGTCTGTCTCATGGTCAGAAATAGTATTACAATAGGAATTAGAGGAGAAAGATTTAGTCCGTGTGTGGTGTGTGGGTGTGGGTATGTGTTCTCTATGTTCCTGTGTTGTTTTCATTTGGAAAACTTTACACTTTTACCTACAGATAATCAGGCCTTGTTTTCTGTATTAGAGAATTCTGTGGTCAAATATATGTCTCTGGGTCATGTATCCACCTCACAATCCTGTCTCTGGGTCAGGTGTCTACCTCACGATCCTTTAGGCTGAAGGCCTAAAATACAAGAACTGTGTTTCTGGATTTTCAAGAGACTTCTGTAAACAGGAAGTGGTAGCATTAAGTGGATCTCCAGTGTAATTCATTATGTCTTAATAAATGTAGGAATGCGCTTAAGTCTCAAGAGAGATGACACATGCCACCCTGATATATACTTAAAGTCCATAGTCTGTGACTCAGAATCAGAATAGAGCTGGAAGGGACCTTGGAGGTCTTCTAGTCCAGCTCCCTGCTCAAACAGAAGATCCTATACTCATGATGGCGAACCTATGGCAGGTGTGCCACAGGTGGCACGCTGAGCCCTCTCTGTGGGCACGCAAGCCATCGCCCAGCTCAGCTCCGCCATACATGCACGTGCACCTCCCACTAGCCAGCTATTTTTGGGTCTCTGGCGTGGGGGCAGAGTGCATGCAGGAGACATGTGCGCATGTGCGTGGGTTGCACACACATGCACGGGGACAGGGGGACCAGTGCACCCCCCATACCAAAACGGGTCATGGGGGATATAGCATGCCCCTGTGGCCCGTTTTTAGTCCCAGGAGGCTTCAGGAAGGCCTGCAAGGTCCAAAACAGGCCACAGGAGGTCGCACTCGCATGTGTGGGGGACGAGTGGGGGACATTGCATTATGGGTGTGGGCACATACACGTGCAACCCCTGTGCGCTCCCCCCGCTTTTGGCACGTGATGGCAAAAAGGTTAGCCATCACTGTCCTATACCATTTCAGACAAGTGACTGTCCAGTCTCTTCTTAAAAACCTCCAGTGATATGTTTGTGTGTGTGTGTGTGTGTGTGTGTGTGTGTGTGTTTCCACATGAATCACCATAACAGTTTTTAAAGTAACATAGTAAAAATGCTCAGAATCATTTCCTGAGATGGGCAGCTATAGAAATCAAATAAAGAAAGAATGAAATGCGATAAATGTCATTTCTGAACAAGTGGTGAAACAGCATGAACCAGCTCAAGTTATATAGTCAACCTGTTATTTTTTTTGAAAAAATAATTTATGGTCTACAAGGCAAAAGTAGGACATTTTCCATCCATTATTCTGATATGAGATCAACTTAAAACAGACCTTTAATGGAAGATTAAAGAATCAAGATCAAAGTCAGAGCTCTGCATGACTAGCTAGCATTGGAAGAAAATTTTGTATTAACAAGGCAGGACTGAACTACGTGTGTAGATATATAAGAAAATTCAAAAATAAAATAGTATATAGGTATATAGGTTAGAAATGCATATAAGTGGAGATTGAATTTTGATTAGTCAGGGGGTTGGACTGGATGACCTGCAGGGTCCCTTCCAGCTGTGTTAATTTGTTAAATTTGTTAAACATTATTCTGCTTTAAGATAGTTGGAGAGAAGACATGCTGAAAGCATACCAATATGTAACAATGTTGTGTTAGAATAGATCTTCTTTTGTTTGAGGCCCATTAGAAAGAGGCCCTAAGGGGACCAAGGCAATAGAGATAAGGAAGAGCCATGCTTGCAAAATATTTTATGGGTAGTTATAGGGAGGTGTTGATGAACATGTAATTAGAGAAAGAGATGATGTTCTCTCTAAAAGGCGCCTTGGATTAGCTGTGATCGGTCACTGGATGCTATGTAGGAGGGGCGGGGGGGGGTTGGGATAGGGAACTATAAAACGTAATGATTTTGAAACTTTAGGTGTGGCTTCCTGGCTCAAACTCCTTTGTTGAGGTCTGCTATTTTGCAAAATTGATTTTATTATTTTCTTTTAATAAAATCTATTTGTTTTCATCAACCCAAGTGTTTGTTGGCTGAAAGTCATTTCCAACACATGTATGTAACGACATAAACTAACCCTCTTCATGACTTCGTTTCTAAAGTGCTTTCTGATATTGTGGGACAGCAACACTTAACACAATAAAATAAAGGATGATCTCTTCTGCAAGAATGTGTCCGTTTTAAAACTATACAAATTGTTTTTTAAAAGGAGATAGAAAGGATCACTGGAGGCTTAAGTATTGAGCAAATAAAATATCATGGAGTTTCAGCAGATGGCACTCTCTTGTAAATCCTTCAGCTTTATCTGGGTCGTGCTGAGGATTTTGTGCAGTTCCTGCATGATAAAGTCGCTCGGATTCGGGATGGCTTGAACTCCGATTGGATGAGTCCACGGGAGGAGACCGGGGCAGGTCTTGAGAATGTTATCTGGGAGGAGTTTGATCCTGTGACTCCCGAGGATGTGGACAGAGTTCTGGGTAAGATTAGTGCCGCCACGTGTTTATTGGACCCGTGCCCCTCCTGGTTGGTACTGGCCTCCCGGGAGGTTACACGAGGCTGGCTCCAGGGGATTATAGGTGCTTCTCTGAGTGAAGGTGACTTTCCTGCCGCCTTGAAAGAGGCGGTGGTGAGGCCCCTCCTCAAGAAGCCTTCCCTGGACCCGGCTGAATTAGCTAACTATCGTCCAGTCTCCAACCTTCGTTTTGTGGCGAAGGTTGTTGAGAGCGTGGTGGCACGACAACTTTCCCAACACCTGGATGAAGCTATCTATCTAGACCCGTACCAGTCGGGCTTCAGGCGGGGGTACAGCACAGAAACGGCATTGGTCGCGTTGGTGGATGATCTCTGGAGGGCTCGGGACAGGGGTTGCTCCTCTGTCCTAGTCCTATTAGATCTCTCAGCGGCTTTTGATACCATCGACCATGGTATCATGCTGCAGCGGTTGAGGGGGTTAGGAATAGGGGGCACCGTTTTGCGGTGGTTCTCCTCCTTCCTCTCCGACCGCTCGCAGTTTGTGTTGGCAGGGGGACAGAGGTCGACCTCGAGGCGTCTCACATGGGGGGTGCCGCAAGGGTCAGTCCTCTCGCCCCTCCTGTTCAATATTTATGTGAAGCCGCTGGGTGAGATCATCCGTGGTTTTGGGGTGAAGTGCCATCTGTACGCTGATGATACTCAGCTGTACATCTCCACCCCAGACCACCCCAACGATGCCCTTGATGTGATGTCTCGCTGCCTGGAGGCCGTGCGGGTCTGGATGGGGAAGAACTTGCTCAGACTCAACCCCTCCAAGACCGAGTGGCTGTGGCTTCCGGCGCCCCGATATAGTCAGCAGGTGCCATCGCTAACTATTGGGGGTGAATCTCTGCCCCCCACAGAGAGGGCTCGCAATCTGGGTGTCCTTCTGGATGCACGGCTGTCTTTAGAAGAGCATATGACGGCCGTGGCCAGGGGGGCCTTTTATCAGGTTCGCCTGATTCACCAGTTGCAGCCCTTTCTGGATCGGGAAGCCCTACGCACGGTCACTCATGCCCTTGTTACTTCCCGGTTGGACTATTGTAATGCTCTCTACATGGGGCTCCCCTTGAAGAGCACTCGGAGGCTCCAACTGGTCCAGAATGCAGCCGCGCGGGTGGTTATGGGCGCAACTCATTGTGCCCATGTGACACCCCTCCTGCGCGAGCTGCACTGGCTCCCAGTGGTCTTCCGGGTGCGATTCAAGGTGTTAGTTACCACCTTTAAAGCACTCCATGGCATAGGACCCGGGTACCTCCGAGACCGTCTTCTGCCACCAATAGCCTCCCACCGACCAGTCCGTTCCCACAGGGAGGGTCTCCTCAGGGTGCCGTCAACCAAGTTATGTCGACTGGCGACGCCCAGAGGGAGGGCCTTCTCTGTGGGAGCCCCAGCCCTGTGGAACGAACTGCCCCCGGAAATTCGTAAGATCTCCGACCTCCGGGCGTTTCGCTGCGCACTGAAGACCCT